AAATAGGACGGAAGAATTAAAAATTTATATTTGAAAAATTCGACAAACTGAAGAATCGAAATATGTATTGAAAAACCTCAAAACTGAAATATCGACAAATTGCTAAATCAATAAATCGAAAAAAATTAACTGAAGAATCAAAAAATTGAAAATCGAAACATTGGGGAATCGAAAAGACGAAAAATGGTAAATTTAAACAATCAAAAAATAAACCATTCAAAAAACTGAAAATCGGAAAATTGAAAACTGAGATATTGAAAAATCAAAAAAATGGAGAAATCGAAATATGGAAGATCGAGAAGTCGAGAAATGGGAAAATTAAAACTTTGAAAAGTCGAAAAATCGAAAATTTTGAAACAACAAATTTTGAAAAAGCGAAAAATCCTAAAGCTGAAATATCCGAAAACTAAGAAATAGAAAAATAAAATGCAGAAATCGAAAATCTGGAATGTCAAAAAAAATTAAAAATTCCAAAATTGAAACTATCCGAAAACTGAAAATCGAGGAAAAGTAAAAAAACAAAAAACCGAAACATTTCCAAAACAGAAATATCAAAAATTACAAAATGTAAAATTTAAAAATTGGAAAAATTAAAAAAGAGAAAAATCCAAGAACTGAAAAATCAAGATGATTGAAAAAAAGAATGGAAAAATTCTGAAACACGGAAAATTGATAAAACGTAAGACTGAAATCTCGGAAAACTGAGAAATTGAAAAATTAAACAGAGAAATAAAAAATTTGAAAAGTCGAAAAACTGAAAAATCGTAAAACTAAAATCTGGAAAAACTGAAAATCGAGACAAGCTGAACAAACAAAAAACTGAAAAATTCCAAGACTGAAATATGGAAAAATTAGTAAATCGAAAAATCTAAAACCAAGCAGTCGAAAAACCAAGAAATCGTAACGCCAATACAATTAAAAAAAAATCTAAAATTTAAAAGTCTAAAAATTGAAAAAGTTGAATAACTGAAGAATCGAAATATGCATTGAAAAATCCCAAAGCTGAAATATGGAAAATTTGCTAACGCGAGAAACTGAAAAATTGAACAATAAAAAACTGAAAAATCCCAAAACTAAAACACCGAAAAATTGAAAATACAAAAACTGATAAATTGATAAATCTCAAAACCGAGAAGTCGAAAAGTAGAGAAATGGAAGCATCAAAAAATTTTAAAAATCCATACTTGAAAAATTGAAAAACAGAAAAATCGGAAAATAAAATCTAAAATTGAAAAAAATAAAAAAATTGAAGAATCGAAATATGAATTGAAAAACATCAAAACTGAAATATCGAAAAATTGAAAATCGAAAAATTTAGGAATCTAAATACGTATTGATAGATCCGAAAGCTGAAATTGAAAAATTACTAAATCGATAAATCGAAATATCGAAGAAAAATGAAAGAATTGAAAAATTGAAAAAATCCAAAAATTGAGAAATCGAAAAGTCGAAAAATGGTAAATTTAAACAATCAAAAAATAGACCAATCAAAAACCTGAAAATCGAAAAATTGGAAACTGAAATACCGAAAAATCAAAAAATGGAGAAATCGAAACAAAGATCGAGAAGTTGAGAAATGGAAAAACCAAAAATTTTGAAAAATTGAAAAAACGTAAATGCAGAAATCGAAAATGTGAAATGTCAAAAAATTCAAAAATCCCAAAATTAAAAATATCGAAAAACTGAAAATTGTGGGACACTGAACAAACAAAAAACCGAAACATTCCAAAACAGAAATATCGAAAACTTTAAAATCGAATAAAACCGAGACGTCAAAAATCGACACATCAAAAAATTTAAAAATGTAAAATTTAAAACTTGGAAAAATTAAAAAAGAGAAAAATTGAAGTCACAAGATAGTAAATTTAAACAATCAAAAAATCAAAAATCTGAAAAATCGAAAAACTGGACAACTGAAATACTGAAAAATCGAAAAATGTAGAAATCGAAACATCGAAAATTCTGAAACACCGAAAATTGAAAAAACGTAAAACTGAAATATCGGAAAACTGAGAAATTCAAAAGTTAAACAGAGAAATCGAAAATCTGAAAAGTCGAAAAACTGAAAAATGCCAAAACTAAAATATCGAAAAACTGAAAATCGAGAAACGCTGAACAAACAAAAAACTGAAAAATTCCATAAGTGAAATATGGAAAAATTAAAAAAATCGAAAAATCTAAAACAAAGAAGTCGAAAAATCAAGAAATCGAAACATCAACGCAATTAAAAAAAAAATCCAAAATTTAAAAATCCAAAAATTGAAAAAGTCGATAAACTGAAGAATCGAAATATGCATTAAAAAATCCCAAAGCTGAAATATGGAAAAATTGCTAAACCGAGAGATTGAAACACTAAACAATAAAAAACTGAAAAATCCCAAAACTAAAACATCGAAAAATTGAAAAATCAAAAATTGATAAATCTAAAGCCGAGAAGTCGAAAAGTAGAGAAATGGAAGCATCAAAAAATTGAAAAAATCCATACTTGAAAAATTGAAAAACAGAAAAATCGGAAAATAATAAAATCTAAAATTTAAAAAAATCAAAAAATTTAAGAATCGAAATATGTATTGAAAAACATCAAAACTGAAATATCGAAAAATTGCTAAATCAATAAATCGAAGAAAACCTGAGGAAAAATAAAAAATCTGAAAAATTGAATAATTGACAAGTTTAAAACAGCGAAGAGAAAAAATTCAGGAATCGAAACATCAAAAAAATTGCTGTACGCTCGGGAAGTAAAAACTGATTAACGATTTACCATGCTTACAATAAACTTAAAACATATGCAAAATTTCAGAGCATTCGGTTTTATAGTTTCAAAGTCAAATTGGATACATCGGTTATATAATTTTGATTTTTTTGGAAAATCTGAATGCCAAAGATAAACAAAAGGAGTATCTTATTTTATAAAATTTAAATAATATTTATATTAAAATAATCGGTCCAGTAGTTTCGGAGATTATAAAAATCCGGACACACGGCAAACAGGAAGACAGACGGAAACGGGAAACATTAGAGTTATCCGAAAGAATCGATTACAATACCTGCTTAGCTTGTACATATAGTCAAAATTTATGGTAGAAATACTATTTCCAATGTCTCCTTTTTCCGTAACTAAATAAATGTAAAACGAACTCACCCATAGTTCACCACTGTCTATGATTCGAACACATTATGTTATTAAAACAAACACACTTTGTTAACTTATTTCTACATATTATGTATTTGACCTGGAGTCAATTAACAATTTCTCCAAAAGTATGAATTCTCTGATAAAGAGAGAGGCCACCCTTGTATTTCTAGTGAGTTTCAACATTAATTCAGAAAGGACACTTATATCACTTCCGACACGTGAAGTATAATACTAATAATAAAACACTCGGGTGTACCATTCTTGGGATTTGATCAATTAAAAAATATATAGATAATGGTAGTACTTGTAGTACTAACAAATAACCTTGGAAGAACTCAGCTTAGACAAGTATAAAACGTTGCTGTAAAATTTCAATTTTTTGGGAAAATTTGGAGGCCCGCGGAAAATATCAAGGCAGATTCATAAACAATGAGTACAGGAATATGCTATTTTATAAGCAACAAATAAAGACGGAGTTATAGACCATAGATGTAGAATTGCTAATCTTATAAAATTTAGCTAAGGTTTACTTTGCAACATATCTGAACTTTCACAACAATCAACTAGTTTCGGAGAAATGGCGGACCTACTTTTATATAGATCAAAACGCAAATTTCCTCTGGACAAAGAAAAAATTCTACCCATAAAATCAAATTACAGGAAAAATATACTTATTAAGTTGAATTGAATGTGAAAGTGCTTTTCTCTGACAGTTATTGGGGAATATTTCGCACATTAATCTTAATTATTTCGATATAGAACAAAACATTGTTATTAGGTGTCATTATTAATATTGTCATCTTTACTAAGTATTACACTTTCTATTCTAATCTCCAACTTTTCTTGGTTGTTTCATTTTCATAATGCAAGTAAATGATTTTATATTAGTTAAATTGTATTTATATTGCATATCAAGTATTGTAAGATGGGTAGTCCCATTCACTGAATGAAGTGGTGGGGCCAAATATAAAACCAATGCAATCACATCGTTCTGTTTCGCGCACAAAAACTGTCTTCATCCAGAGTGCATTGACGATTATTACCGCCTGTATGAAGTCATTCATTTGTTTTTCTTTTACAATTACGACGCCAGTAACTAGTTTACAAATAAGCACTTTGAACATTTACATAACCGTGATGAACCACATTCACACATATTAGTTTTCTTATGTCCTAATGTCGTGGTAGCTACTTAATTAAGTCAGTGTTGGTGTTATTAGACATAGAACCCATCATCAGTGACCGTACATTCATCCCATCATCGCAAAATTACGCATCCAGCTGTCGCAACCACAACAGAAACAAACAATATCAAAAATAACACACACCACGAAGTAGCAAGCAAGCGTCCCGATTACTCAGCCCCGTCTAAAAATACCCCGTGATAATCCCGCTCCACTATCAGCATCCGCGGCGCCATGTTCGCGCACCTAACCTCACTTCTCCGTCACGTGACGCGTCCGCCCACGCCGGCAACGTCGCTCCTTTGTTTTCGTCCGTCTTTTGTTCGCGTAATTAAAGCGCTCTATCGTTATCTGCGCGCATAAATTACCCGCGACCGGTTGAAGAATTTTTTGCAGCGGCAATCTGAAATTCTGATAAGGCCGAGGCGTCCGGCGAGCGCACAAAGAACGAAAGACAGAACGAAGAAAGAAGGCCGTTATCAGCGCGGCCGATCGTCGTTTGTTATCTGGCCGGCCGCCGAACGGCCGAACGCGATCCAGAGTGCGGCTCGCGGCAGATGTTCGGTATTTATAAGCAGGCGCTGGAAATAGCTCGGCGGCCAGGCCGGCCCTGGAGGTCGGTTAGGGCCCGGCTGGGCCGGGCCTGTGCTCTTACTCTTATCAGACAATGAATCACGTACCAGGATAGAGAGACACGTCATGATCTTGGTCGGGAGGTCGGTGCGGGGGCTCCCATCGTCGAAAATAGGCAGCGGCTCCTTATCTACCGATAAACAAAGGCGACAGAGCTGATAAAACTTTGGCGGTACATTACACATATTCGAACACTGGGAACACAAAAACAAAGGGACACATCAAGCACACCGACACCAGAAACATGAATTCGAACGGTTTTCACAGCCTCTTGTTTATTGTTTCGCGACGTTTCGGGCGTTTCGGGGCGACAACATCAAGCCGATGCACCGACACGACGAGCACATTTCACGTTTGTCAAGAGCTGGGTTATAAATTAAGGCACTGCCATGGCCACCTTGATTAAAAAGGTGATTTGATTACAGCAGCGCAGGAGGGTTCTTGGCGGTGGTTGGGTCTCTGGCAGACAGGTGGCGACGGCTGACGGTGACGGCGATGCTGCCGAGACCCACGCGAAGAGGTGGGATAAAACCAAACCAGAAGAACTCACGCGAGTCGGACGAGTTGCATAACCTAGAAAGAGAAATGTCAAAGGCGAAGGGCTGCCAATCGGCCAACCCCATGATGATAAAACACTAGGGGGGTTGCAATTTTTTCGCGAACCAGAACCAAATTTTTTTACATTTACAATCGCTGATAAGGTACAGCATGGATTTCAATGGAAAAAATACGCAATTGTATCAGTGAATAGAGTAGGAAATAAATCCTGTCATCTTCTGCTCTCAGTATCGAGATATTGCTGGTTGCCTACTTACAAACTTTAATGCAAAAAGATAAGTAATAATTCGAAAGTATAGTCTTGCAAATTCTGCACGAGTTTTATAAGATTACATACAATTATTTACAAGTTACTTTTTTTTTCAGTAATTTATTTAGTTACTTATTACTTTTAAACAGTATTCATTACTTTCACAATCACTTCTTGCCAAAAATTCGAAGAAACAAAATTATCCTCCCTAATTCAAATGCAATAAATATTTATTAGTGAAATTCAACTTAATCCTGTGAATAGAATAAATGCGTTTCTGGAAGGCACTTAAATTTACAAGTTTTACATTTTATTTAATGAAATTGATTTGTTTGAAAGTTATATTGTTCCAGATTTTTACGGTCCTATATAATAGGTTGAAAACCGAAAAAAACTCGGTGTTGTTATATTTTCCTCTTAAAATGAGTACAAGCAATACACACGTCACACCAGAACATGTGGAAAGAGATTATATTTTATAAAAAAGTTCACAAATTCTCCACTGGAAAAAATAGGCTTTTACAAATTACACAAAACATTTGCTAAAGTTGTTTTTCTTTCTTCTTGTTAAGTAATATTTTAATGCAAATTTCAAAACCATAAACTGATATTTACAGATTTTAGTTTAACTAACAACAGAGTATCACGAATATCAACCAAATCCCGGTCTTATTATTCACAGAAAAATACATCTCAAAGTCGTTAAAATGATATTTGAAGAGCTTATGTATCATGGTTTCCTAAACAAATTATATAATACAACCAGATATAATAATCGCAACAGGTCAGGTAAACGATTCGTACAAAAAAAACCAAAATAATACTTTTGAATTAAAAGTAATTGCAAAAGTAACTGAATTACTTCCAGTTGTGCTGTACTACAAAGACAAGTGAAAGAAAATGTAGGGAAAAAGGCAATAAGTTGCTGAAAGTGGTGTGGCGTATAGGAGAGAGAAAATGTGATTTCGCGAATTTTATTTTGTTAATGATAACTTCTATAAGTTAAAATAAATATATGCGTGGAATGTGCAACCTAGATGTACAAACTACTCAAAAACATATTTTTTACTTCTTGTAGAGAAATAAGGATTTTGAAATTAAGCTCTTAATAACTAGGTTCACGACGATTAAAAAAAATCATCAGAATTGAGACATGCATATATTTTACCCTTTCTTCTTAATAATTTATACATGGCTTTGGCCATCTTTTCACAACAAGAAACTTAAAACATGGTTAAAACGGTACATTTTAGCAATGAAATATGGATTTTGCAATTGTCGGGCGGCATCGATATTTCTTTAAACAAATTTTCCATTTTAAACATGTTTTAAGTTACATGTTGTGAAAAGAAGTCTACACATATTAAAACAAAAAGACAAAATATAAGCCCGCCCACCCGCCCTATCGCAATTGTGATGATTTTTTTTATTCGCCGTGAACCAAGGGGGCGGAGCATAACTGCAAAACACTTATTTCTTTACAAGAAACGAAAAACATGTTTTTGAGTATCGTATTGTTTAAACAATGTTATGTATATTAAAAAAAGGGTAAAATACACAACCCCACCCACCCACCCCCTCTCAATTGTGATGATTTTTTTTTATTCTTACAAACTTAAAACGTGTTTAAAATGATGATAAATTTTTGTAGAGAAACATGAATTTTAAAATTAGGCTCCGCCTCTAGGTCTGGCAATGAATGAAAACTTCAGTATTATTCAGATCAGGGCAGATATGGGTGGGGCTTAATGTTTGTTTTTAACTTAAACATATCTTACGTGGTAATTTCTTATAGAGAAATAATAAGGATTTTGCAATTAAATTTCGCTCCTTTGGCTCTCGACAACAAAAAAATCGTCACAATTGAAATAGACGGGTAGGCGGGGCTGATATTTTGGCTTTTTCTTGATATATGTAGTCGTCTTTTCAGAACAAGAAATTTAAAACATGTTTTAAATGGTAAATTATTGTAGACAAATATGGATCTTGTAATTAAGCCCCGCCCCTCGATCTGACAACGAATGAAAAATCATCATATTTGAGAATTAAGATTGGGGCGGATATAGGTGGTTCCTAATCTTTGGCTTTTTTTTTTCTTCATACATATACATACTTTTAGTATTCTTTGAACAAGACGATACTCGATAACATTTTTTTAAATTCTTGTGGAGAAATAAGGATTTTGCAGTTAAGCTTCGCCACCTTGAGTCACGACGAATAAAAAATACATCACAATTGAGATAAGGCGGGTGGGCGGGGCTACATTTTGCCTTTCTTTTCTTAAAATGTGAAGTCATCTCTTCACAACGAGAAACTTAAACATGTTTAAAATGGTAAATTTGTATGGGGAAATATCGATTTTGCAATTACGCTCCGCCCCTCGGGCTGACAACGAATGAAAAATTCATCACGACTGAGATCGAGAGGGATGGGTGGGACTTCTCTTTTGGGTTTCTTTTTTAATTAATACATTTAGTTTTCTTTGTATAACAAGGTTACCCAAGAACATATTTCACATAGTAATTTCTCGTACAAAAATAAGGATTTTACAATTAAGCTCCGCCCCTCGGCTTACAACGAATAAAAAAAATCATCAGAATTGCGTTAGGGCGGGTGGACGGGGCTTATATTTTGCCTTGTTTTTCTTAATATACCTAGCCATCTTTTCACAACAAGAAACTTAAAACATGGTTAAAATGGTACATTTTTGCAAGGGAATATGGATTTTCCAATTGTGAGGCGGAGCTTAATTACAAAATCGATACTTCCTTATACAAATTTTCGATTTTAAACATGTTTTAAGCTTTATGTTGTGAAAAGAAGTCTACATATACTAAAACACAAAGGCAAAATGTAAGCCCGCCCACCCGCCCTATCTCAAATGTAATGATTTTTTTATTCATCGTGAACCAAGAGGGGTCCGCTTAACTGCAAAATACTTATTTCTTTAGAAGAAATTGAAAACATGTTTTTGAGTATCGTGTTGTACAAACAATGCTATGTATTTTACCAAAAAAAGCCTAAATTTTATAAACCCCGCCCACCCACCGCATCTCAATTGTGATGGCCTTTTTTTATTCTTAGAAACTTAAAACATATTTAGAATGGTAAATTTTTGTAGGGAAATATGGATTTTGCAATTAGGCTCCGCCCCTCGGTCTGACAACCAATGTAAAATTCATCACAATTGAGCTTGGGATGGCTTAATTTTTAGCTTATTTTTGTTAATATCCATAGTATTCTTTCAAAAACACAATACTCAAAAACATATTTTCTACTTCTTGTAGAGAAATAAGGATTTTGCAATTAAGCTCCACCCCCTTGGCTCACGCCGAATTAAAAAAATCATCAGAAATAAGACAGGGTTGGTGGGTGGGGCATATATTTTGTAAATTGTGTTTCTTAATATAAGTCGTTTTTTCACAACAAGAAACTTAGAATATGTTTAAAATGGTAAATTTGTATAGGGAAATATGAATTTTGTATTTATGCTCCGCCCCTCGGTCTGACAACGAATGAAAAATTCATGACGACTGAGATCGAGACGGATGGGTGGGGCTTCTCTTTTGGTCTTCTTTTTTAATTAGTACATTTGGTTTTCTTTGTATAACAAGATTACCCAAGAACATATTTCACGTGGTAATTTCTCGTGGAAAAATAAGGATTTTACAATTAAGCTTCGCCCCTCGACTTACGACGAATAAAAAAAATCATCAGAATTGCGATAGGGCGGGTGGGCGGGACTTCTATTTTGCCTTGATTTTCTTAATATACATAGCCATCTTTTCACAACAACAAACTTAAAACATAGTTAAAATGGTACATTTTTGTAAGGGAACATGGATTTTCGAATTGTGAGGCGGAGCTTAATTACAAAATCGATATTTCCTTATACAAATTTTCGATGTTAAACATGTTTTAAGCTTTATGTTGCGAAAAATAGTCTAAACATATTAAAACACAAAGGCAAAATGTAAGCCCGCCCACCCGCCCTATCTCAATTGTAATGATTTTTTTTATTCGTCGTGAACCAAGAGGGCTCAGCTTAACTGCAAATTAGAAATTTAAAACATGTTTAAAATGGTAAATTTTTTAAGGGAAAAATGGATTTTGCAATTAGGTTCCGCTCCTAGCCCTGGTAACGAATGAAAACTTCAATATTATGTAGATTTAGGTTTGTGGGACTTAATATTTGCCTTAATTTTTTTCTAAATCTACACAGTATTTTTTGAATAACACGATGAAGTTTATAAATCCCACTTTAGACTAAAAAAACCAATTTTGCTTATGCAACCAATAATACGTGAGGTGTCAAAACTTGCAGGAATTTTGATTCATAAGCTTAGCGCATCGATTCATAAAAATATTCTTAGAAATTATAAACTCGCAAACAAATTGCTAAATTGAGGGGAAAAGAATCTAAATATTAAACATAACTTGAGTTCTTGATATACATCTGTTTTACTGGTTGCCTAACATTCTAGAAAATATTCCACTTCTAGAGTATACTGGCACAAGAGATAAACAGTTTTGTGACTTTAACTTTTTCAACCCCGTCGTCCGTGAAAAAAGATCAGGTTAAACTAACTGAATTTGAAGTAAAAAAAAACGGCAAATGTCACGTTTTGTAAAAAGCACTGGTTCTAGACTTTTTTGTCATTTATTGACTTTTCAATTAAAAAGCCGCATGGTAACATAGTTAGAAAGATTTAAAAATTTCATAACAATTTAATTCCAGAGTACACTTTTTCTTGTTAAAATACTAAAAATACAAAAATAAGCGTCAGCAAAACTAGATCTCTCGAATTTTGAGTTTCCTTACTATTTTTATTAAAATAATAAGTTTTACTTGAAATTCGTTTCTACCGTCATTCGCACACAACTTTTGCAAACCCCTTACACTAGAAAACCTCTAACAAAAACTCTAGCGAATAACAACCGCAAAAATAATCAAAACCAGCGCACTGATGGCCTTCACACCATTGCTGCCATTGCAGGCTTCAGTAAAACACTGGCAGCTCAGTTCCTTCTTAAAATTGGTGTTGGACGTCATGCAATAATCTCCATCGTATTTTTCAAACTTGATAAACCCACAGTGCCTGGTAATCCTCGTCTCTCCACTATCCACCAACGTTTGGACAGTCTTTCGGCAAAAAGCACCTGGCTTCGCACACTCAATGAGTGTGGAGGTGTCACCGGAATCTATTTTGGCGCACTTGGTAGACGTGTGGGAGGTGCAGTTGTGACACTTGATGCAGTCGGCTAAAAAAAATGTGCACTACGCAGCAAAAGTAACTTTAAAACACTCACCTGTGTGGATCACTGTGACGACAACCAGAAACGCGGCGAGAAGTTTCCACAACATTTTGCAGTTTTGGTGTGTTGTGGTGTTTTTATTAAACTGTTAAAAAGGATGGATTCAATTCGGAACGCGAACTAGCGGAAGCGGTAGATGGAAGTATCCTATTTCATACAAAACTAGTCGAACCTGTTGGTCCACTTTCCCGTGCGTTATCTTCCGAGTTGTTGCTTCCTTGATCTACACAGTCGCATACATTAGGTAAACAATAGTGCGGGTCGTTTAATGATTTTTGCGCACTTAACACCGATAAACATACTTATGTAGGCACAACATGTATACAAACTATGCAACGCTTTCTAAATTTAGACGACGTATTCATATGGTGTGTTCGTCAATGTGCACAACCGAAAAATTTATTTTTAGGTGCGTTATGTTCAGGGTTTCAGATGGAGGCACCGCCTGGATTTTGTATTTGCGCTGCGCATTAACTCGCATTTGAGTGAATGGAGAAAAAGCGGATCGTGAAGGTGCTAAAAGCTGGTGGAAAGTTTTTGCTGTGGTGTATGGAATACGGGAAATCGATTAAAAAATAAAATCTGGGTTAAAATTAAGTACTCAAACAGATCTTGCTTCGACCTTCGAGGACTGCGATTTTATAGATTAATTTGTAGGTGACGTCAAATTTTTATAGGGGAAAAATACACCACTTTTGACGCGTACAGTGTAACACTAAAAATAACAGTAGTGTTTTTAGAATTTTGAGAAAATTAGGTTTTTTTTTAAGACAAAACTAAACGTATTTTGTCATGTTTATTTTATTGTTGTTTTTATTGTTGAACAAAATTTAAATGACTCATTTTTTAATGTAGGCAACCAACATTCCTTTCCTTCAGATATTTAAGAAAAGTTGTATCAACTCATTTTTAGACAAAATGTTCCGACACAACAGAAAAAAAGTTTTATAAACACTGGATTTGCTTAAAAAATTTAAGAAGACTATTCAGTTTTTGGAATGCAGACAGTTTGAAATTCGCCCTAATGTTACAGTGTCTGTCAAAATCTAAAGTAAGCGGTTCTATAGTTAAACTTACTTAAGGGCCGTTATAGCGACATAAAACTTTTCCTGCAAGAAGTCTGCGAAACTTGTACACGAAAATAAAGGTACTCAAGGACATATATGTCAATTTGTTTCATTTACGTCACCTATTCATCGTCTGTTCCCTACGTGGTTATTTTTGTTGCATTGATTAGATATGCACATAATTGACTTTGACCCCGAATATTGCGAAAACCGGTATCGACATAAGATTATTTTTCCTGATAGTTCCAGGGTCGCTGGAAGTGCGCTAAAAATTCTACGATTTTCGATGCTCGTCTGCAGTCCTGTTGACTGAGGATTTTTTAGTAACACCCATTTTCGAATTTTTAAAAATTGTACAGATTTTTGGTTTTTTAAATGTACAATGTTTCGATTTGCAAGTTTCTGAGTTTTTGAAAATTTTAATGTATCAACATTTGATTTTTTCAATTTTTTAATTTACAGTTTCTCGATTTTCCAATTTTCCATTTGTGAATTTTTGCTTCTTCAATTTTTCGATTTTACAGTTTTCTGATTTTAGGTTTTCTAGTTTTCAATCTTTAATGTTTCAGTTTTACAATTTTTGGCATTTTTTATTTTTTGATTTTGTAATTTTTCGGTCTATCAGATTTTTGATTTGCAATTTTTCAGTTTGTAAATTAAATTTTTCAAGTTCTTAATTGTTTAATGTTTCATTTTCGCATATTATAATTTTTAATTTAATTCGAAAACAAGAAATTTGTTAAAACTGAAATTTTTACGATTTTACAGTTTTACCCATTTTTGAGTTTTTAAAAATTCTTAGATTTCCGATTTTGCATTTTCTCGATTTTCTGATTTTTGTTCGATGTTACAATTTTTCGATTTGCAATTTTTCGAATTTGTTTTAAGTTTTTCTAAGTTTCTATTTACCAATTCTTGGATTTTTCGGTATTTCGATTTTATATTTACTTAGATTTTTAATAGTTCTAAATTTTCGACTTTTTACATTTTCGATCTTACAAATTTTCGTTTCTTGGATTTAATTTTTTTAATGTTTTGTTTCTTCGATTTTTCATTTGTAGATATTTTAATTTTCCTTTATTTGAATTATTAAACGATAATTCAAATTTTCATGTCTTCAATTTTTGATTTGCAGTTTTTACCTAGTTTTCGATTTTTAGTCTCTTCGAATTTTGGCTTGTGAATAATCAAGTTCTCGTTTTTGTATTTTTAAATTTTGGACAAAAAGAACAAGTTTATTAAAACTGAAATTTTGAAAAATTTCAAAGCAGGATTTGTTTTCATGTTGCTCTTGGAATTGGAAATTTAACAACTGAAAAAACGAAAACATAAAATACCGAAAAATTGAGAAATCTAAAAATAATATAAAGAACCAGTCTAAAAGGTGAAGCAACGAAATCATGAAAAATCGAAAAATTGAAAGGTGCAAAATCTAAAAAATAAAAAATTTAATGTGGAAACGGCAAATTAAAAAATTGCAAAATTTCAAATTTGACGAGAAACTGAAGAACCGAAAAATTCGAAAATAGAAAAATTAAATTGGAATCTCAAAAAATATTGGAGAAAGGAAAAATTAAAAATCGAGGAACGGAAAATTCGAACCACTGAAAAAACGAAAGAAGAAAAAATCGAAAGTAGAAAACTAAAAAAGTTGCTAATCGAAAAATGGATTTATTGAAAAATTCGAATTTAATTATGGAGACAACAAATACTTCTAAGATGAGAGTTAGAATAATTTTGTTCTGTTACCATAAACACGCTACATTTTTGGAATAAGCACGTTGAGATCTCTATCCTTGAATTTTTTGAGAATTTTTAGACGACTTTCAAGAATGAAATTTTCCACTATTTTCCCCCCTTACGCAAATTTCGACCCATTTTCGACGATTTTCGAAATCTAACTAAACACTTTTTCTTGTAGATTTCGGACCGCAAATGTCACTTTCGGCTTTATTTCTTCAATAAGTCTAACCATTTTTCCAGAATCGCCCGTTGAAATAACGCAATTTTTAAAAATTTCAAAACCGAATTTTCCGAAAATATTGCCCCGTTACCACAAACACGCTATACATATTTTTGGAATCAGCACGTCGGGATCTATATGCCTGAATTTTTTGAGAATTTTTATCCGTCTTTTCCAAAAATGAAACTTTCCCTTATGCAAATTTCTACCCATTTTCGACGGTTTTCGAATTTTAACTAAATACATTTTCTTGTAGATTTGGGGCTGCGGAAGTCACTTTCAGCCTCATTTTTTCGATAACTCCAACCGTTTTTCCAGAATCAACCATGGAAATATCGCAATTTTTAAAAATTTCAAAAAATTCGAATTTTACATCGAATTTTTCGAAAGTTTGAAAATTTTAATTTATCAACATTTGAATTTTTCAATTTTTTAATTTACATTTTTTTCAGTTTTTCAGTTTCTCGATTTTTAATATTTCGATTTTCCAATTTAATTTTCCATTTGTGAATTATTGCTTCTTCAATGTCTCGACTTTACAGTTTTCTGATTTTAGGTTTTCTAGTTTTCAATTTTTAATGTTTCAGTTTTACAATTTTGGGCATTTTTTATTTTTGGATTTTGTGATTTTTCGGTCTACCAGTTTTTTGATTTGCAATTTTTCAGTTTGTAAATATTAAAATTTTTCCTTATTTTACGTAATCGAGGTTTCAATTTTTAATTTAGCTTTTAAATTTTTCAAGTTCTCAATTGTTTAATGTTTCATTTTCCCATATTATAATTTTTAATTTACTTCAAAAACAACAAATTTATAAAAACTGACATTTTCACGATATTACAGTTTTACCCATTTTTGAGTTTTTAAAAATCCTTTGATTTCTGATTTTACATTTTCTCGATTTTCCGATTTTTGTTAGATTTTACAATTTTTCGAATTTGTTTTAAGTTTTTTAGAGTTTCTATGTACCAAGTCTTGAATTTTTCAGTATTTCGATTTTATAGTTACTTAGCTTTTTAATTTTTTCGATTTAGAATTATTCAATTTTATAGTTTCTGGATTATACAATTTTTGGTTTTCCAGTTTTCCAGTTTTCAATTTTTTGAAATTTTTAGATTTTCGATCTTGCAAATTTTCGTTCCTTGGTTTTTCGATCTTGCAAATTTTCGTTTCTTGGGTTTAAATTTTTTAATGTTTCGTTCCTTCGATTTTTCATTTGTAGATATTTTAATTTTCCTTTATTTGAATTATTAAACGATAATTCAAATTCTCTTGTCTTCAATTTTTGAATTGCAGTTTTTACCTAGTTTTCAATTTTCGAATTTCAGCTTGTGAATAATCAAGTTCTCGTTTTTGCATTTTTAAATTTTAGACAAAAAGAACAAGTTTATTAAAACTGAAATTTTGAAAAATTTTAAAGATTTGTTTTCATGTTGCTCTTGGAATTGGAAATTTAACAACTGAAAAAACGAAAAAATAAAATACCGAAAAATTGAGAAATCTAAAAATAATAATAGAAAGAACCAGTCTAAAAGGTGAAGCAACGAAATATTGAAAAATCGAAAAATTGAAAAGTGCAAAATCTAAAAATCAAAAATTTAATGTAGAAACCGCAAATTAAAAAATTGCAAAATTTCAAATTTGACGAGAAACTGATGAACCGAAAAATTCGAAAATAGAAAAATTAAACTGGAAACTCAAAAAATATTGGAGAAAGGAAAAATTAAAAATTGAGGAACGGAAAATTAGAACCACTGAAAAAACGAAAGAAGAAAAAATCCGAAAGTAGAAAACTCAAAAAGTTGCTAATCTTAAAATGGATTTATTGAAAAATTCGAATTTAATTATGGAGACAACAAATACCTACCTTCTAAGATGAAAGTTACAATAATTTCTCACATTTATTAGAAATATACAAATATTGGAAAAAAATATTGTCCAGAAATATATGGGTTAAAAATAATACAAATAATAATACAGCGCAAATTCGTTGCTGAGGCATTGCTTTATCTGCCCCATAGAACAAGCTGCCCCTGATAAACAGGTCGAGATCTATAACACTGAATTTTTGAGAATTTTTGGACGACTTTTTCAAAAGTAAAATTTTCCACTATTCCCTGTAGATTTCGGGCTGCGGAAGTCACTTTTGGCCTAATTTTTGCGATAACTCTAACCCTTTTTCCAGAATCGCCCATAGAAATATCGCAATTTTTAAAAATTTTTAAAAATTCGGTTTTCACATCGAATTTTCCGAAAATTTTGCTCTGTTACCATAAACACGCTATATTTTTGGAATAAGCACGTTGGGATCTCTATCCTTGAATTTTTTGAGAATTTTTAGACGACTTTCAAAAGTAAAATTTTCCACTATTTTCCCCCCTTACGCAAATTTCGACCCATTTTCGACGATTTTCGAAATCCAAGTAAACACTTTTTCTTGTAGATTTCGGACCGCAAATGTCACTTTCGGGCTTATTTCTTCAATAAGTCTACCCATTTTTCCAGAATCGCCCTTTGAAATAACGCAATGTTTAAAAATTTCAAAACCGAATTTTTCGAAAACATTGCCGTTACCACAAACACGCTATACATATTTTTGGAATCAGCACGTCGGGATCTATATGCCTAAATTTTTTGAGAATTTTTATCCGTCTTTTCCGAAAATGAAACTTTCCCTTATGCAAATTTCGATCCATTTTTGACGATTTTCGAAATTTATTTAAACACATTTTCGTGTAGGTTTCGGGCTGCAGAAGTCACTTTCAGCCTCATTTTTTCGATAACTCCAACCGTTTTTTCAGAATCGACCATAGAACTATCGCAATTATTAAAAATTTCAAAAAAGTCGAATTTTACATCGAATTTTCCGAAAGGTTTTGAAAATTTTAGTTCATCAAGATTTGAATTTTTCAATTTTTTAATTTACATTTTTTTTCAGTTTTTCTGTTTCTCGATTTTTAATATTTCGATTTTCCAATTTTCCATTTGTGAATTATTGCTTCTTCAATTTTTCGACTTTACAGTGTTCTGATTTTAGGTTTTCTAGTTTTCAGTTTTCAGTGTTTCAATTTTACAATTTTTGGCATTTTTTATTTTTTGATTTTGTAATTTTTCGGTCTACCAGATTTTTAATTTGCAATTTTTCAGTTTGTAAATATTAAAATTTTTCCTTATTTTACTTAATCGAGGTTTCAATTTTTAATTTAGCTTTTAAATTTTTCAAGTTCTCAATTGTTTAATGTTTCATTTTCCCATATTATAATTTTTAATTTAATTCAAAAACAACATATTTATTACAACTGAAATTTTCACGATTTTGCAGTTTTACCCATTTTTGAGTTTTTAAAAATCCTTAGATTTCCGATTTTGCATTTTCTCCATTTTCCGATTTTTGTTCGATTTTACATTTTTTCGATTTGCAATTTTTCGAATTTGTTTTAAGTTTTTCAAAGTTTCTGTTTACCAAGTCTTGAATTTTTCAGTATTTCTATTTTATAGATACTTAGATTTTTAATAGTTTTAAATTTTCGACTTTTTAGATTTTCGATCTTGCGAATTTTCGTTTCTTGGATTTAAATTTTTTAATGTTTCGTTCCTTCGATTTTTCATTTGTAGATATTTTAATTTTCCTTTATTTGAATTATTAAACGATAATTCAAAATTTCATGTCTTCAATTTTTGATTTGCAGTTTTTACCTAGTTTTCCATTTTTGGTGTTTTGGAATTTTAGCTTGTGAATAGTCAAGTTCTCATTTTTGCATTTTTAAATTTTGGACAAAAAGAACAAGTTTATTAAAAGTGAAATTTTGAAAAATTTTGAAGCAGGATTTATTTTCATGTTGCTCTTGGAATTAAAAATTTAACAACTGAAAAAACGAAAACATAAAATACCGAAAAATTGAGAAATCTAAAAATATAAAGAACCAGTCTAAAAGGTGAAGTAACGAAATATTGAAGAATCGAAAAATTGAAAGGTGCAAAATCTAAAAAATCAAAAATTTAATGTGGAAACGGCAAATTAAAAAATTGCAACATTTCAAATTTGACGAGAAACTGAAGGATCGAAAAATTCGAAAATAGAAAAATTAAATTGGAAACTGAAAAAACATTGGAGAAAGGAAAAATTAAAAATGGAGGAACCCTTTTTCCAGAATCGCCCATAGAAATATCGCAATCTTTAAAGATTTCAAAAAATTCGAATTCCACATCAAATTTTCCGAAAATTTAGTCCCGTTACCATAAACACGTTGTATTTTTGGAATCAGGGAGTGGAGATTTATATCCCTGAATTTTTTCAGAATTTTTAGAAGACTTTTCCAAAAGTGAAATTTTCCACTATTTCGAGCTCGTCGGGTGTCATTCACCAAGTTTATAGAATTTATTATTATTATCTTCAAAAGTAGGGAATAATTCCAAAATAATTGTGTAGGTTGACGTCACTAGGTTAATTGTCAATTTTATGCAGACACAGTTTTATTCGGATCTCTATACTTATACTAATTACCGTTAAATACAAACTAAAGAGCTATTATTACTCCTAAAATAGGTATGTTAAACAATATTGAGAAAAATTAACACACATCACATTTTTATTTCATCTTCTAAATAAATATTTTGACCATTTATGATTATGGTTATTAATGTTATTAAAAAACGCAAAAAATGCAGTTTTATCGTCGTCAATATTGATAAGTTATTTTCAGGATCCGGATCTGCTGTACTCACACGTAATAGTGGTTGCCTATCTACGAGCACGAACATTTTGTAAGAACAAGTTGAGTTTTATTGTTTGAATTGATTCCTTGAAACTCTTGTCTTTTTTTTACTACATAATTGACAAGACAAGAAGAACTAGAATTCTTTGAATAGTAATTGAACCGCCACAACATGAGTCAATAATAAAATAAATCAGACGGGACATGAAATAAAACTACTTCCAGGTTTCCACTGTTTAATTGCCTCCATTTTCTTAATTACACCGACAACAACAAAGCTTTATTTAATATTCTCATAATTCAATCACTCCAATTAAATTAACAATATAAAAAAACGAACGATTCCTAGAAACTTTTTTCTAAATAACCCACCCACTTACAACTTACTTTCCTTATTTAAATATATACAGACCTAATTAACATAGTGGAATACCCACTAATTTTGACTTAAAAAAACCTCCTCCGAAGAAAACCTCCAACCGCAGCACTGCTTTTCTCAACTGGAGTATCCTCCACTTCGTCCACCTTCTCTTCCACCTTTTCCACGACATTACCAAACATACCTCCCAGCGAAGGCAAAAACGAGCTCTTCTCCGGCTCCACGACTTTAATTTTTTCGGCTTTCTTTTCAGTTTCGTCTTTCTCCATCGCGGCTCCAAAGAGATTTCCGAACGACGGCAAATACTGGGTCTTCTCGGGCTCGACGAGTTTCTTAGTTTCCTTCACCACCTTCTCCTTCGCATTACCGAACAGACCAAACGAAGGCAAAATGCTTTCTGGTTCCTTTTCCTCTTCTTTTTCATCGTCAGCGTCGTCTTTGCTGCCACCAAACAAACCAAATGACGGTAAAAGACCTCCGTCGTCCTTCTTGTGTGGGAGCAGTTCTGGGGGTTTGACGTGGTTCTGGGAACCTCCGAAGGGTAAGTTGGGGAGGCTGTCAGTGATGTGGAAAACATCGGCGGCTTTGACTGTGTCTTCCACCAAGTTGCCCACACTTGCGATGCTTTCACCTATGCATTCTTGGGTGTCTTTCAAACCTTGGCCCACCATGTCAACTAAAATAAAATTCATTCATAGTTTTTCTTTGTGTTTGTTTTGTTGCAAGAACTTACCGGCTTCGTTTGCGATGTTGGTTACATTTTCAGTAGCTGCTTTGCAAATCCGGGCGGTTTTGTTGATTTGGCCCTCCACGAATCCTTCGGGTTCCTTGAGGCCCAGGAGTCTGCGAATCGGACGCAGGATTATGTTCAAAATAGTCGAAATGTAGAACCAGATAAGATTTTTGAAAATGCTTGTTGGCGTGGGAATTAGCGACGGGAACATCTTGACTGAGTATTTGCTTGATTCGCAATATCGAGAAAGTACCAGGTCGGTGAAATTCGAATGAGTTTTATTGGACGTGCCGAAAGGAAAAGCGGGGTCAAGGGTTTTTTGATGTTTGGAAGTAAAATTGACGATAAATGTAATAACAGTAAAATAATTTTTTAATGGATAAAGTTAAATTCGTTGGATGTTTGTTTTTGATAAGTTGTGTTTTTGGGAAAACAAAAATAAGCGAGCGTAAAGGCGCCGCGTCGGAGGAATTTTTGGATGAAGGTAACAACTTTGGCGTGTACTTTATTACGATTTCTTTTTTTCTTCTGTCAATGGTATGTTTTGTATTACATAATGTAGCAGTTTTTATTGTTATTATATCTGATATAAAAGATAATTCGTAGTAGATTTTTTCTACTAATTTGCCAGAAATGAATTTTACAATTATTTCAGAGTATTCTATATGTTGACTTCTCTTACAACGAATTTATTAGACATATTTCTTTTTTGGAAATAATGTAACTTGTATTCCTCAAAAGTTTAAAGAAATAATAACTGTTTTTCATTAAGTTTTTCAAGATTTAATGGAAAAAATGTAGGATTTTTCACTGAAACGCACCTCGAATAGCACAATCTTTCAAAAGAAAAAAATATAAATACCAAATGGAACAATATAGAACGAATAGTAACAGAAGCGACAAAAAGACACGTGAGTAAAACAAAAGCAAGGGAAAGGAAAGAATGGTTAGACGAAGAATGCGAAGCAGAAATAAAACGTAAAATTATATATATTATTATATTTTGTTTTTCTTTCATATAGATAGTATTTTTTGAACAACACGATACTCAAAAAGATGTTTTTAATTTCTTGTAAAGAAATAAGTATTTTGCAGTTAAGCTCCTCCCGCTTGGTTCACAGCGAATAAAAAAACAGTACAGTTGAAATAGGGGCGGGTGGGCGGATATATATATTGCCTTTTTTTCTTAATAATAATACATAGTATTCTTTGAACAACATGATACTCAAAATGTTTTTAATGTGTTGTAAAGAAATAAGTATTTTTCAGTTAAGCTCCACCCTCTTGGTTCTCGGCAAATAAAAAAAATCATCACAATTGAGACAGGGTGGGTGGGCGGGCTTACATTCTGTTTTTTATTTTAATATGTGTAGACTTCTTTTCACAATAAGACCCTTATAACAACTCATAGTTAAAATGGAAAATTTGTATAAGGAAATATCGATTTTGCAATTCGGAACCTAATTGCAAATGCATATTTCCTTGCAAAAATGTACCATTTTAATCATCTTTTGAGTTTCTTGTTGTGAAAAGATGTCTATGTATATTAAGAAAAAAAAAACGGAAAATATAAGCAAAAAACAAATTACAAAATTTTTCTTTTGAAAAAGCGAACTAAAAGTCCACAAAAAATTCTGGAGCATAGATATCAAAGTTCTGATTTGAAAATATAGCTTGTTTATGGTTCCGCCGCAAGATATTAGATATATTCATTTTGAAATTCAATTAAAAAAATATTCTAAAAATTGCCCTATTTCAGTGGGCGATTTTGGAAAAATTGTTGAAGTTATCGAAGAAATTAGGCCAAAAGTAACTTCTATAAAGTTCTAATAAATCTACAACAAAATGTCCTTATGTAAATCTCGAAGATGATCGGAAAAGGAACGAAATTTTGGTAAGGGAGGAGCATTGAAAATTTTGCTTTTGGAAAGGCTACCTAAAAATTCAGAAAAAAGTCTGGAATATATTTTTCAAAGTTTTTTTTTTAAATATTGCTTGTTTATGGTTCCGGGGTAAGATTTTATATAATCCAGTTTAAAAAATAATTCTTAAAATTTAATATTTCTGCAGGTTGAAGTCAGAAAAAAAATGTCTTTCGATAAAATTCGAATGGCCGAAATAGGGTCGAAATTTTTATAAGGAGAATTTGACTTTTGAAAAATTTGCCTAAATATATACAAAAAATTTGGGATTGTAGATATCGAAGTGTTGCTTTTACAAAAATATACACATTTTGTTTTTAGTTCCGGAGCGGGATTTTAGAAATATTTGTTAAAAAAAAATAAAAATTGCCTTATTTCAATGGGTGATTCCGGTAAAATTGTAGACCTTATCAAGGAAATGAGACCTGAAGAAAATGTCTTTTTCACTTAATCTTAAAACATGTTAAAACATTTTAACCATGTTTTAAGTTTCTTATGAAAAGATGGCTATGTATATTGAGAAAAAAAAGGCAAAATATTAACCTCGCCCACCCGCCCTATCTCAATTATAATGATTTTTCTTATTCGTGTAAGCCGAGGGGAGGAGCTTAATTGTAAAATCCTTATTTTTCCACGAGAAAATACCATGTGAAATATATTCTTAAGTAATCGTGTTATATAAAGAAAACTAGATGTATCAATTAAAAAAGAAAACCAAAAAAGAAACCCCACCCATCCGTCTCGATCTCAATCGTGGTGAATTTTTCATTCGTTGTCAGACCTAGGGGCGGAGCGTAATTGCAAAATCCATATTTCCCTATACAAATTTACCATTTTAAACATGTTCTAAGTTTGTTGTTGTGAAAAAAACGACTTACGAGTATATTAAGAAAAACAAATTATAAAATTTTTCGTTTGAAAAAGCAAACTAGAAGTCCACAAAAAATTCTGTAGCGTAGATATCAATGTTCTGATTTGAAAAATATGGTTGCGCCGCAGGGTATTAGAAATATTCATTTTGAAATTCAATTAAAAAAATATTCTAAAAATTGCCCTATTTCAATGAGCGATTTTGGAAAAACTGTGGAAGTTATCGAACAAAATGTCCTTATGTAAGGCTACCTAAAAATTCAGAAAAAATCTGAGACATAGATATCAAAGTTTTTTTTAAATATTGTTTGTTTATGGTTCCGGGCTAAAATTTTATATAATCCAGTTTAAAAAATAATCCTTAAAATTTAATATTTCAATGGACGATTCTGGAAAAATGATGAAGAAATGAGGCCTAAAGTTACGTCTGCAGGTTGAAGTCAGAAAAAAAAGTCTTTCGATAAAATTCGAAAATAGTCGAAAAAGGGCCGAAATAGAGTCGAAATAAAATAAGGAGAATTTTACTTTTGAAAAACTTGCCTAAAAATCCACAAAAAATTCGGGGATGTAGATATCGAATCGTTTTGAAATTCAGTTTAAAAAAAATAAAAATAAAAATTGCCATATTTCAATGGGTGATTCCGGAAAAATTGTAGACCTTATACCAAGGAAATGAGACCTGAAGAAACTTAAAACATGTTTAAAATGGAAAATTTTTATAAGGAAATATCGATTTTTGCAATTAGGTTCCGCCCCATAATTGCAAAATCGATATTTCCTTGCAAAAATGTACCATTTTAACCTTTTAGAAAAGGAAGAGGGACAATCGATCAAATATTTATGTTGAAACAAATCATGGTATGAAATTCCTACTCATTTACTCTTCGTGGACTTCAAAAGAGCTTACGATACGGTGAACAGGACAAAGTTAATAAGCATCTTGAGAGAACTAGATATTCCCGAACAACTAATAAATCTAATAAAAATGAGATTGAAAAACACAATAAGCAGAGTAAAAGTAAAAGGAAAAACTAGCGACAATTTCAAGGTTAAACAAGGGCTCAGACAAGGGGATTCATTGCCAACAACTCTATTCAATCTGGTTCTAAAGAATATTATAAGGAAAAGTGATATAAACAGGAAGGGTCTACTATTCAATAGAAGCCATGAATGTCTAGCCTACACAGACGATTATAGTCCTACTAGCTAGGAACAGAAAGTAATTAGAAAGAATAACAGCAAAGCTAATGGTGAGACAAGCAGAAGAGGTAGGCTTAGAATTTAATATAGAAAAAACAAAATATATGGAACTAAAGAATAACTGTGGGAGTCTTGGGAGTATAAATAAACAGACAAGAAGGAATACAAGTAGAATTTGAAGAAGTAGAAATGCTTATGTACTTAGGGGTGTTGATAACCAACAAATGTCAAGAAGACAAAGAAATAGAACTGAGAATTGCTAAAAGTAACAACTGTGCAGTAGGATTAAGAAAAATTATGAAAAGTAAAGAAATATCAAGGCAAACAAAACTAAGAATATATAAAACCATGGTGAGACCAACCCTAACATACCTACGCGTGCGAGACATGGATTATGACAAATAGAATGAAACAAAGACTGGAAATTTGGGAAAGGAAGATACTTAGAAGAATCTTTGTAGGGAAACAAACAGAAGGAGGATGGAAAAGAACAACTATTGAAGAAATATATGATTTATATAATGACGCAGTTGTAAGCAATTTCATAAAAATAAAAAGATTGCAATGGTTAAGACACCTAGAAACAATGATCCAAGAAAGAGAAGTTCAGATGGTGGCGTGGAAAATTCCGGAGGGCAAAAGAAAAGGAGGCAGACCAAGAAAGAAGTGGAAGGGTTCACAAGAAAATCACACTAGGGTTATTTTTAAAATCTGTGTTAGAACATTTTGTGGATAAAGATTCTGTATGCGTTAGTGCGTTAGAAGGAATGCGAATAAAAAAAGTACGTTTGAATTTTTTCTTTTTATTTAACTCTGTTTCCTTCGCTGTTGAGCAAGCAAAACTATGCAAATTATACACAAACAGCAGAATAAACATAAAACCCCACTTGGGTGTCACTTGTTTATGAAAAAATAATCCAAATTATTAATTTTCTATACAAAACTGAAATGGGCTAACGCAGTTTCAAAGTTAAATGAATGAATGTTTAAAATTAATCCAATCGTGTCCTTTTGGCAAATTAAGTCCATTCTGCATACCGTCAGTACGTCGTGTCGATCAGAATCGCCAAAAATATGTCGAAATATACTTCAACACTCATAAAATTCGATCTAGATTGCTAGTTTCAAAACGCCAAAATAGGCTTTGAAACCAACATATGAAAACAGACAAATAAATAGTATAAAAAATTATGAAATATGTTGCACATGGTACAAGTGATAGTGGGTGTCAGGGAATAGCAACCATAGAACATCCCCCAAATAA